TGGGCCGCGATAACAGCCGATGGTCGCTCTTCACTCATTTTAATCGACCGTGGCATCAGAATAAATGCCGAATATTATCGCGAAAATATTCTGGAGGGTGTATTAAAGCCTTGGGCACGCAAACATTTTGGCCGCAGACCTTGGACATTCCAACAGGACTCAGCCACATCGCACTCAGCACGCGCCACCCAAGAATGGTTACAAAATGAGGTTCAGCGCTTCATTTCCAGCGCACAATGACCACCAAAATCTCCGGATACCAATCCGTTGGAGTATTTTGGAAAGCAAGGTTGGCACTAAAAAATACCAAAGTATCGATCACCTCAAGCAAGCGCTTCGAAGGGAATGGACCAAAATACCGCAGAGTAACATTCGGGTAACGTGTGACGGTTTCATTGGCCGTTTGAAGGTCATAATCCGTGCTAAAGGTGACCAATTTCAACAAATCTAAACTTATTCTAAAATTTGATGCTATTTCCGACATTTTTTGCTTTCATTCAATACAATTTGAAAAAAAAAATGTAAAAATTATGGCCTTTGACTTTGTTGCAGTTTTTATATCTCACCCTGCATATATTCGCTCAAAACCAAATTTAATAACATTTAGCACTTTTCGTACTAAACTAGGACGCATTTCCAAACCACCACCAAATCTCAGACACAGATACCATCAGTAATCTTAATATCAAATTTCAGAATTGTATCTCTATCCCTTCAACAATATAATCTTAATATCAAATTTTAGAATTGTATCTCTATCCCTTCAACAAATATCAAATTTAGTGCTATTTAGCATCCGGTTCTCTTCAAATTTCACACATGCCATTATTTTTACTAACAAATTATCTGCTGTGAAAATGGGATATATCGGCGCACTATTTGTGGTACTTCCCCCACAAAGCGTTTACAATTTTGAAAAACAAAACGTTAATAAAACTTGAAATAAGTATCCAACCGTCTTCAAATTTCACAAATCCAAACATTTTTTCCCTTTCCCTTAGCCAGAAATCTGATATGAATATATAATCAATTGGAATTTATGATTTCGTATAAAATTGGATATAAATGTTCGATTTCCTTTAAATTTTACACATACCAACCTTTTTATCTGTATTAGATGAAGTGGAATATTCCGGTCCTCTGTATCTGGTACCTCACGCATATTTCCACATTTTCCAAAAATTTGCACATATCTCATATAAAGTATAGGAAGGAGATGAAATTGTACAAATATTGCACGTTGTAAGATCTAGGTCAAATACAAATTGGAAAATATTGGTCAACTGCTTCGGAACCAGCCCCATAAAGGGTCAACAATTAGAATAATCATAACTCAAGGCTGGGGGTATATATCTGTCGGCAAAACCGATTAATACTATTTTACTTGTTAATATATAATCCGGGAGCTTTTTTGAGTACACCCTGTAGGAATTCTCGATTTAAGCTTTAATTTTCCTTTGAAAATCGTCTTAAAAATCAACATTAAAATATGTCTGTTCTTCTACAATTTTTTTTCAACAATCGTCGATTTTACATTTTTCAAGAATTAGCTTTAAATATCAGCGATAAAAGTTCAGTTTACTGTTCTCAAAATATTCTAAAACTATGTCTTCAGTTTCGACTGACCTTTTAAAAATGTTCCCTTGCATATAACGCTGATGATTCGTTGAAAAAAATAGTCCTTGATAACATTAAACATTTATTTTTACTTTTCTTTAAACGGAAAATTTTTAAAGAACTAAACGCTTGAATTATTGCCTTACTGGAGTATTTTTGTTTATACCAAATATTAAGTGATCCATAGGAAGAAAAGGTATTCTTGGAATTCGCTTCAAATGCTGGCAATAAAAAGCTTAAGGTTACAAATTGTCCTGTTAAATTCTTGTTAACATTTACGACAAATACACTTTGCTTTGATGTGTGTGAGTGTGTGTTTTGGCATACAACACAATACAGATGTAAGTGTTAATGTTAGCTCCCATCATATGTTCTGGCGTATGTGTGACATATTTTATATTTAAATTATACTACTTATATATGGTTGATATAAAATTTAAAACTTCCCTCTACCGAAAATTCTTAACATGTTAATATTTCAAAATAAATATCATAAAGGCTATTATTATGTTATCATGTTATGCTGTTTTGTTTTCAATAAATATTTTGTAGCTTTAAAATATTTCAAAGACTTTGTGGCCATAAAATGTTTACGATTTTCCGTTTAATGTGTATGTGGCTTTATTCAAAAAAAAAATCCTTTTGTTATTTTTCTGTTATCTCTTGTCGGCTATTATTTGGCGTGTCATTTTTCTGTAAGTGGGAATTGAAAGTTTAAATGTGGAATTTGTTTAATATTTTAATCCACTAGAACATGGATTATTTAGGACGAAAAGAGATATTTTTGCGATTATTAGAATAATATTTTTCAAAGAATAACCAAAGCTATAGTGGTTCATTTATTTTCAGATTATAATGTTTAGGAAAATCAGGGCTATAGTCATCAATATTTGAAGAGTATTTGCCAAAAGGGACATTTTAAGATTACTTTTTAAAGAACAAACACAGCTATGTCAGTGGATATTAAAATAATATTTTCATGGGCAATCAGAGCAATATAACCGAAATTAATGTTGTGGAAACATGTTCAGTATTTTCAAAGAGCAAGTGGAGCTACTGTCACTGTTATTTTAAGAGTATTTTCAAAGGACAGCTAGAACTTAGGAGACTTTAATCATATTTTTAAAAACAAAACCAGAGCCATGTATATTTTAAGAATAACTCTTGAAAAAAGGCACAAGTAAAGTAAAAAAAGCACTAAATTCGGCCGGGCCGAACTTTGAGTACCCTCCACCATTTCAAACTAATTTGGAAAAAAGAAATAAAAAGAAAAAAACAAATAAAAGAAAAAAGAAATCTTTTAAAAATTCGGTTAAAATCTTAAAGATACCGAATGTAGCCGTTATATTGGGGTCTATACGAAGACGTGGACATGCATATGCAACTTTTGTCATAAGCCATTACAATATTTAAATACTAAACTTGAAAAAATCTGGCGAATAATTTATCGAAAATCAGCAAAATATCGAATATAGGAAAGTAACGTGGTGCTATAGGAAGACCTGGACCAGCATATACAATTTTCTTTCGCAGGCTGTAGTACATATTAGGAACTTTAAACAAACAATTTCAATTTCAAACAATTTCAGTGAATATTGTACCTAAATCGTCCAAATACCGAATATATGGAGGTACTGGTATTTGGGCCTATACGAAGATCTGGATCTGCATAGACAATTTTCTGCCATAGAATGTAGTTCCCATTACGAACTCTATATACGAAATTTGAAACAATTCCGGTGAATAATGACGCTAATGATGGAATTTGAAACAACTCCGGTTAATAATGTCCTTAAGATCATCAAAATATCGGATATAGGGTGTACCGTTGTGTATGGCCTATACGATATCGTTGACCTATATAGGCATTTCTTTTCTAGGGGGTAAAGTGTTTAGAAAGAACTTCTGGTATGGATTTTTAGACAATCCCTTTGAAAAATGTATCTCAAACCATTAAAATGCAGGCTATTGGGAGGTACCGTTACATGACAATACAGAGTGAGATGAAAAAAACTGCAACCAATTTTAGACTGCTGTCATTTCTAAGCCACTCATCCAACAGCTGTTAAAATTTTTCCAGTGACAGCTCAGCTAGTGTGATTTCCTTATATTTGGCTGGAAAACCACAAGTGGCTATCGTTAGAGCACTCCAGCATTTAAATGTGAATAAATCGTTTGTGTCTCGTACTATCGCTCGTTACCGTGATACTGGTAGCGTAGTCCGACATCAAGGAAGTGGACGGAAGAAAACAGCAGCATCAGCAGAAATGGTTCGAAAAGTAAAGAAGCAACTTGATCGAAACCCGCGTCGCAATGGCCGAAAAATGGCTCGTGAGCTGAACATATCGCAATATTACATTCCGCAAATATTGAAAAATGAGCTCGGGGTAAAGCCATTGAAATTCCACCAAATGTAAGAACTTACACCGCAGCAGAAAGACAATAGACTCAAAAGAGGTAAAGAGTTAATTCGCTTGGCCAAAAGTGGTAAACTGCCGAATTTGGTTTTCTCCGATGAGAAAAAATTCGTTGTCCAGCAGTTTGTTAACAAACAAAATGACCGTGTTTACTTGCCAAAGAGTTCAGCTGAACATGTGCACTTTCGGTTGGCCACCAGAACTCGAGCACCGGCCACCAGAAGTGGTGTGGGCCGCCATAACAGCTGATGGTCACTCTCCGCTATTATTAATCGATCGTGGTATCAGCCACCGATGGAGTGTATGGTAAATGTACTACAATATTTTTGAAAATTCCCACTATAAGTGTATGAAAAGTACTAAAGTGTACTACAATTGGTACCGTTTCGTATCATGTGAACGGTTTGAAATTTGCAACGGTAATCGAGGTTAAGGAGTAGGGTCGATGTAAGGTGGTCATTTTGGAAGTGTGTACTTATGTACACAGAAAATCCAAAATAAACAATTTGAATGACTTGATTTGGAATATTTTTCAAAAGACAAACAGATCTTATGGCGGAGATTTTAGGGATATTTTTATCAAAGAATAACATTGATAATTTAGGATTATTTTTTAGAGGACAACCAGAATGATAGTTTTTAATTTTTGAAAATATAGTTTTCAAAGAAAAACTAGAATTATTGTCCTGAATGTTTTAGGACAAACAGAACTACCGTACTAAACTTTGATGGATATTTTCAAAGGCAAAAACAGAGCTATTGTTTCGCAATTGTTAACGATAGTTACCAAATGACAACCGCGACTATGATTTCTGAAAATCCTAAATCCTAATTTCGAAAAACTTTCGATGTCACTAAAATTCATATTTAAATTTTCATTAATTCTAGAATTTTAATTCACTTCAAAAATATATCACATTTTTTTTAATTCACTTCTTCTTTTTCGTTTTCTTACCCAAGAAGGTTTTTGGCTGAAATAATTAATACCAAATTATGAATGATAATGGCATAGCTGCACAATGAGCCATATAAACGTTGGAAATTATTCATAAGGACAAAATAAGCAACAAAAACTAAAACAACCACAAGACATCCAAAAGGTCCCTGTTTTTCGGTCAACAAGCACGTGCCCATTCCAGACAATCATAAATTCACAGCAACAACCAAAACACAATAAAAGACACACAAAAACGATAACAACAATGCGTTACAAAATCAAGGCCAAGAAAAACAGTAACTATAACACCCCAACCCCGTGGCGGAGAATTAAAAGTAACACCGCCAACCTAATACTCGCTTGCGGATGTTGCCTTGTCCTAATCATCACCACACTGGCCATTGTCTATGAGACAAAAAGAATTATGAATGAAGATCCAGGTTATTGGCAAATTGATATAACAGATGTGGATGATGCTGGGGCAGAGGCTATGGATACGCCAGGTCAAAATCCAGAAATTGGGATTTTAAAAAATTTACCTGAGGAATTACATGTTTTTGCCACGGGCAGTTCGTCAACGTCTTCGAATGAATATACATTTGGCTCCTCATCGCTGTATTATGACGAGGGTGGTAGTGGCGCTGGTAGTGGCAATGGGCCAAGCGGTTCCGGAGCAGGGGCATTAAATGGCGACACAAATGTAGCCAATGCCATGGAAGAGGTGAAGATGCGACGAAAACGAGCAACTATTGAATATGATGAAATGGGCAATCGTGTTTACAATGTTGGTGTATTGATGGCATCGCATTTGGGTGAGTATTGCAGGTGACAATGTGTGTGTGTGTGTGTAAGAGAGAGAGAGGGAGAGAAAAATTACCTTGTTTTGTTTTTATTGTAACAAAAATGGATTATTAAATGTTATATTGCTGGTCAAAATTTTATTTTTTATTTATTTATTATTTTTAGTTTTGAAGACGGTAAAAGACGCGCTTCTTCAGCAAACGGTACAGATGTTCTTATCTTTTTCGTTTGCCGTCGAAATGGCTCGAATGGTAGATTTTGAGATATAATTCGAATCCCCAATCGAAAGAAAAGGGTGAAGTTTTAGCTATACCTAGTTTTTTTTGGCACCTCTGCCTAAAACGAAATTAGAAAATATTGTCGGTTTTGTTGGGGAACATTGAATCGAATATTTTTTTAATATACAGTGGAAACAGAGATTTATTTTCTTTGGTGACTTATAGTAAAATTTGATGAAGAATATTTTTATCCCTCCACGATACATGGTATGTAGGGTATATTAAGTTTCTCATTCCGTTTGTAACTTTAATTGATCAGCGTAAAATTCCAAGACGATTTAGCCCTGCCGTCCGTCCGTCTGTTGTAATCACGCTAGTCAAAACGAATAAAGATAGGGAGCTAAAATATTTTGCACAGATCAGTCTTTTGTCTGCAGACAGGTCAAGTTCGAAGATGGGCTATATCGGTCCTCCATATCGTATAGCCCCCATATAAAGGTACCCTCCGGTATTCGGTATTTTGATGATTGTAGCCTTATTTTTAAATGAAATGGTCTGAAAATCAAAAGGAGTTCCTTCTGAGTAATTTACCTCGTTAGAAGAGTGTTGTCTATATAGGTCCACAATATATGATATCGTCCCCCATATAACTGTACCTCCCTATATTCGGTGTTATGATGATTTTAGCTACATTTTTCAATAGAATTGTCTAAAAATCCATACTAGAAGTTCTTTCTAAGCACTTTGTCCCCTGGAAGAGAAATGTCTATACAGGCCCACGTTATCGTATGGCCCACATACTGATATTCCGTATGGATTGATGGTCTTAGGTACAATATTCACCGAAATTGTTTGAAATTTCGTATTTGAAGTCCCTAATAGGTACTCCAGCCTGTGACAGAAAATTGCCAGGTCCAGGTTTTCGTATAGGCCCCATAAATCAGTACCTCCCTATATTCGGTATTTTGATGATTTTAGCTACATTATTCACAGTTTTTTCAAGTTTCGTATTTGAATATTGTAATGACTTATGACAAAAGTTGCCTATGCAGGCCCACGTCTTCGTATAGATCCCAATATAACGGCTATATTTGGCCCAAATTAAGTAACATTTAATATACATATCCAAAACAATCTACATCTCTCTATCTTAAACACCAATGGTACAATTTAATACTTTTGGAACAGTTTAGTACGTATTTGCAAAACCAACACCCAATTTTAACACTAGATACCCACAGAGACCTCAATATCATATTTCGTATTACAGCATTCTATACCAAAATTTACAATAGTATCTTTTGTCTAATTTTAGTACTCATTTACAAAACCGTTCCATACTTCAATCCTAGATACCAACAGTTATTGTAACATACAATTTCACAGTTTCACCTCTATTTCTTCACCCACTACCATAGTTAGTATCATTTAGCACTTTTCGTACAGATATAGGATGCATTTCCAAATCTTAACCGCAGATACTAACAGTTATCTAAACATCAAATTTCAGGATTTCAGCTCTATTCCTTCATCCAGTACCAAATTTAGTACTTTTCGTACAGTTATAGTACATATTTCCAAAACCATCTGCATATCTCGATTCCGGATACCAAGAGACATCTCAATGTGAAATTTGAGGATTTGAGGCCTATCTCTTTACAAAATACCAAAATTTGTACCATTTAGTACTTTTCGTATAGATATAGGACGCATTTCCAAATCTCAACCGCAGATACCAATAGTTATCTAAATATCAAATTTCAGGATTTCAGCTCTATTTCTTCACCCTATACCAAATTAAATACTTTTCGTACAATTCCAAATACCATCCGGCACCTCAATGTGAAATTTGAGGATTCTAGCCTTATTTCTTCACCCAATACCAAAATTAGTATCATTTAGTAATTTTCGTATAAATATAGGACGAATTTCAAACCACTGACAAACTCAAACACAGATACCATCACTATTCTAAATATCAAATTTCAGAATCCTTTCCCTTTATATCCAATACTAAATTTAGTAGTTTTCATACAATTATAGAACAGATTTCCACTATACATAGACATACCTACCACTAGCTGGGACCGCAGAACAAAATTTCAAATTTCCAGCTTCATCATTTCAAATTTCCAAATTTAGTACCATTTAGTACAGTTTGCACATTTGGTACACATTTCCAAAACTACCTTCATATATCAAAATTACTTTGCAACTCAGTCTAATCACACCCGACGCACCAAGACTTTGATATATTTGATCAAAAATATTGTCTTAGACATCATCCTTCTGAACTAGAATTTGAGAAAGAGAATTTGGCATAAAATTACATGAAATATGGTTTTAACCTTAAAATGTGTTTTTAGGTATAATTTAGAATTTTGATGAGTTTTGGGACCTGTAGTAGAATTTTATGACAAATAAAAAGAAGTTTTTGACCATATTTTGAAAAAACAAGTAAAAAAAATTAAGTCGAACTTTTTATACCCTCCACCTTAGGGTAAAGGAAACATTTTTATAAAAAGTATCTATCAAGCGTATTTTACTTTAAACTTCATATATCAGTAAGACCTTTTGCATAATGCAGTTAAACTTATCAAAAAAAAAAAAAAAAAAAAAAAAAAAAAAAACTCATAAAGTGATTGAGACCGTTATATGGGGACATACTAAAACGGGAACCTCTATAGGCAATTCAAGGATTGTCATCTATCAAATCTTCTAAAATACCAAATTTGAAACAATTATGTGGGTAAATGTGACTAGGATTATAAAAATACCGAACATCGCTGAGTATCGTTATATGTGCGCTATAGGAAAACGAGGAAATAAATATTCAATTTTCTGCCGGGCTAAAGCCCATTATAAACTGAGAATACCAATTTTTATCAAAATATCGGATATCGGCAGGTACCGTTATATGCGGGATTATACCACACGAGCTACAACCCATAACCAACTACAAATACCAATTTCAGGACAAATCCGTTAAAAAATGTGCAAAAATCATCAAAACACCGAATATCGGGAGATTCCGTTATATGGAGGCTATGCAGAAACGTGACCCACAAATTCCAATTTTTAGACAAATCCGTGAAAAAATGTGGCAAAAATCATCGAAATACCGAATATCGGAAGATATCGTAATTGGGTGCTATATAAAAACGTGGACCTATACATACGCCCCACGAGCTGGAACCTATTATGACTTACAAATACCAATTTTAAAACAAATCCGTGGAAAAATGTAGTAAAAATCATCAAAATATCGAATATCGGGAGGTACCGTTATATGGGGACAATATCAACACGTGGACCGATATATCTCATTTTCAATATTAACCATCCTAGACATAATACAAATTGTTCTGCTAACTTTGATGCTCTGCCTCAAAAAATGTGAGCTGTATCGTGATTTTAACAGACAGACAGACGGACATCGTTAAATTGACTTAGAATATTACGCTGATTATGAATATATATACTTTATGGGATCTACGATGAATATTTAGGAATGTTACAAACAGAATGATAAAGTTAATATACTCTCCTTTCCAAGATGGAGGGTATAAAAAAAGGTCAAAAAAAAGCTCGACAAGAATAATCCTCGCATTGTTCACAGTAATATTGTCGAAGACAAAAATGTGGAGGTGGGGGGAACTTTCTGTTTTACTTAAGTTTCTTTGCGCTGTAAACTTTCAAAACGCCAATAAAAATGCGCACATTCTATGTCGAGCTCTACTTTTATAATTTTCTTTATCTTTATTTTCGTCTATGTAGGAATATTAAAGAAAAAAAAAAAGAAAAAAATGTTAAAGGATTTACCGAGAAATAATTCTTAACATTTCTAAATGAATTTCTTCAATTTAAAAATAAAAATCAATTTAAAAATAAAAAAAAAAAACACAAAATGTAATCTAACACCCAGCTTAGCCAGCAAATAGCCTCAAATGTAAATAAACAAAAGACCCCTTTTCTTGTTATTGGCCATCTTTTATTTCTTGCTAACTATATTATGTGTCTGCCTCTCTCTCTCTATGTGTGTGTGTGAGTACTCATTGCTCTCCCCTTTCTTATTTATAACAGATTCACCTTTTGACTTGGAGCGTTGCGGTCCGGCTGTTGATTTGGCATTGGATGTCATTAATAAGGAATTTCTGAGACCTCATAACATTACGTTAAGGAAGGTTCAGGCAAGGTAAGGTATCGTGAATATGACTCAATTGATATTGAAGGAACAGAGAATGAGCGGGATTCTAAATAAGTGTAAAATAATTAAATGGATTAAAAATGATTGCTTGGTTTTGTTGCTGGAAATCAAATATTTAACTGTTTCAATTTTATTGAAAATAAGCAAACGAGAGGGTAATGGATATCAGACTCCTTAAATATTAATCTTTATTTTTAATTGAATTTAATTAACTAAAACCATGAAGCACTTCATGCCAGGTTTTGTAACCAGCAAAGTTAATTACGTAATGTTGCTGTGTTCAATTAAGTAGCTAAGCCCAGGAAGTAGGGCAATAACTTTTTTTAATATTCAATTTCAAATAATTGGTTTTTGATTGGTGGTAGGAAATCCGAACCCGTCAGGTTGTGTATAAAGGGGTCGTTTTTTAATTAAGTGCCAGTAGGTTTTATTTTACAGTAGATTTGAGCTTTTGTTAAAAAAAAAACGTTTCAATGATATTTGGTTTGAAAGGTCACATAGTGATGTTGGGTATCATAAAGTCGGTACCGCCCAACTATTGTCTTTCTTTACTCAATTGGTCAATTTAATTTTTCTATCGGGAGAGGTTTTGAGTTTTTATTGAGAGGCATTTTGTTTTGGAAGAGAGAACCATTTGGAGACTTACAGAGGAACATTTGATCTTTTTATAGAAAACTATTTGTTGTAAAGGAACGTGTCTTAAGTCTTATTATAGAAATCTAAGTTGTCTCCTTAGAAACTTCTCAAAGAAAATTTTCTTATGGAAGAAAAATTAAATCTTTTTTGTAGAGCGTCATTTGGTTTTCTTAGAGATATCTACTTATTTTTAGTACAGAAGACCATTTGACCATTTTGGATTTATTGTAGAAGGAAACCAAAGGGTATCTTAAAGAAGACCAAATTCTCCCCAGAGGAATATCAGATGCGAAAATCTAACGGTTCTCTTTAAGTAAACAAATTGGTCGTTTACAAGAAAATCAAATTATCGCCCCAAAAAGGCCAAACGGTCGTCATGGGGGAATCAAACGGTCTTTTATAAGAAGAGGAGATGAACTGTTCTTAAAAGGGTAAATGGTTTTCTATTAAATGTTAAATGGTTTTTGTGAGAATGCAAAAAGATCTTCTACAAAAAGATTAAAATGTAATCTCTTTGAACAATAACTGGTCTTCCATAGAAAAAAATTATGGACCTTTATAAGGAATCCACATAACTTCTTAAATAATTTAAAAAGCTTGTCTCTAGGAAAATTATATTGTTCCTCTCTCTCACTCTCTCCCCTTCTTTCCTTTCAAAGAAAAACGTTGGTCTTCCTTTTACAAAATGGCTTTAGGTCTTTTATTTTCATAGCAGAGCTTAAGGTCTTTATGATATGCATAAATAATCTGTTAAAATCACGATACAACCCACATTATTTGACATAGAGCTTCAAAATTTGGCCTAAATGAGATATATCGGCCCACGTTTTGGTAAAGCCGCCATATAACGGTATCTCCCGATATTCGCCACATTTTTCCACGGATTTGTCCAACAATTGGTAGTTCATTATGGGTTTCCGGTGGCCGAACATTGAATATTTAGGTCCACGTTTTTCTATAGCGCACATATAAATATACCCACCGATATTCGGTATTTTGATTATCCTTGTCAAATTTACAAACGAAATTCAAATGTGTGTGTGGTATTTTAGAAGATTTGGTGGAAGATTTGGTTGAAGTATAAAATTGTCTATAGAGGTTCCCGTTGGCCTAACCGATGCTATGGTTTTTTGAAAAGTTTAACGGCATTATTCAAACGGTCTTACTGGTATTCGTAGTTAAACGTGCACACACGTTTTAATTCAGTAAATTTATATTAAAATGTTTTCTTTACCTAAAGGTGGATGGTATTAAAAGTTCGGCCCGGCCAAAATTAATATTGTTTTACTTGTTCATAGAAAACTTAAGAAGACCTTCAAAAAAGAGACTTTTCATAAAAGAGCTTAAGGTCTCATAATTTTCGTAGAATAGATTTTATATATTGTCTTTTATAAATAGACCACAAAGTCCACTAAATAGGGCTTAAATATCCATCTTTTAGTAGATTAACAAACTCCGTACTTATTTTATACTATTATTGAGGGTCATTTGATTTTTCTACAGAACACCATATATTCTGGACAATATTACCTTAATCCTTCTCTCTTTGAAATTACTTTATTTTACATTCACATTTGTTGAATCAAATGATTTGTGTACTAATGTCTGATGCGAGTATGCCTGTGGCATTATGAACTTTTCCAAAAGTAAAAGTTAATGAAATCACAGAAGTCTGGGTGTTTGTATGTCTGTCTGTCTGCTAGTCTGTCTCTTTTACTTCAATGATTATTCTCGCAGTTAATGAGTTTTTATTTGTATCCTCCCAGTTGTGTCGGAGAATTACGACTACAACAGCAATGGCAACGGCAGATTGAAGCAATTTTCTTACAAATGATTTTCTTTCCCTCCCACATTTTCCTTGTTGTCTTTGCAGTTATCCCTCCTGTAGCGGTGCCAAAGCTCCCGGTTTGGCAGCTGATATGCATTTTAAGAACGATGTGATTGCCTTTGTGGGACCTGCATGTGCCTTTGCCCTGGAACCGGTGGCACGTTTGGCTGCCTATTGGAATTCACCCATCATCACCGGCATGGGTGATCAGGTAAGATGTACTTTAGGCGAGGAATTACAAGGAAAATGCAAGTCATTCAATGCCTCTGAAGTGTTTTCGATTTAATTAACTCATGCGGGAGTTAATTAGGTTTGGCTTTATTTCATTTTGCATGACAAATGGCTATTAAATCTATTCACGCAAATTCTGGTGATTGTTGGCTTAAGCAGAGGGAAAAGCAAATCAAATATCAGTGTAATTGTTTAATTCCAAATCTGTTGTTTTCGTTGTCTTCCTTTATTGTTTTCTTCTTTAAAATGCAGCCTCCATCCGAAGGTGAATTAACGGTGACATCTGGAATACTGGGACGAATACACAAGTGGAAAAATGAAAGTACGGTAAGTAACAGTGACGAATAAGAGACCAAGAAGTGAGGAAATCTATAATAGGACTTTTTTCATACAAGAGCTAAAAGTCATTAATTTTGCTTTTTATAAAAGAGCTACAGGCCTTCCCATGTCTTCTTCCCTTCAAAGAATTAACTACAATGATTCTACTTTTATAAGAAAAGTTATAGATTATAAACTTTACATAGAAGAGCTATAGGCCATGTTTAAAAAGAAGACCTTTAGGTCTCTTCGATCCAATGAATAGCTATTATTCCCAAAGGATTGCTTTGGGTCTTTTATTTCCCATAAAATAACTTTAGGCTTCCTTCGAATTTTCCTAAAAAGAGCTTCTGCCTTTTATTCTTCTTAGGAGAGTTTTCATTGAAAAACCTAAAGTATTCTACTTTTGATAAAATAGCTTGAAGTTTTCTACCTCTGATAGTAGATATTAAGATCTTCTATTTTTCACAGAAGAACTTGTGGTTTTTATTCATAGACTATGTTTCCATACCCTCAGACATATGGTTAGCCAAAACGTGCCTCATCGAAATAACGGTTTTAGACCATAGATCTATTTTGACCAAATCCGTTTAAGGACATTTGAGGTCGATCTAGCGATGTCCGTCTTTCTGGTGCGCATGATAACTCTCGAAGGGAGTATCCGATTTGGTTCAAACTTAGTACATCATAATATTATTACCAAACTTAGATCGAGTTCGGAGATGGGCAATATCGGTCCACTCCTTCTGGTACATCCCTTACAAAAGGTCGAAATTTTCAACAAAAATATTTGTCCAACTTTACTAGGTTAGGTGCGGAAGTGGACAATATCGGTCAACTTCATCTAACACCTCCGCCACATAATGTCTACATTTTTTAAATAATTATAACTCTTCTAAAATTTGATGTAAGAGTCCGATTGTTTTCAAATTACACACATCACAATATTTTTATTAACCACCAGACGGTGTGAAGATGGAATATATCGGCCCATCCTGCTGGTACCAAAGGGTCAAAATTTTGAATATCCATGAAGCTCATAAAACGCGAAATTAACATCCGATTCCATTCGGACTTGGTACATCTCAATTTTTCCATCAACACAAGACTTGTTATAAAGATAACAGAGATCTGACCATTACTTCTGGTACCTCCTCCACAAAGGGTCAAAGCCAAAACTAATATAAAATCCGAAATAAGCACCTGGTTCTCTTCACATTTCACACATTTCATTATTTCTACTAATACTAGATCTGATGTGAAGATGGGATATGACGGTCCATTTCTTCTGGTACCTCCCCCACAAAGGGTCAAAATTTTGAATGTCCATAAAGCTCATAAAACGCGAAATTAACATCCGATTCAGTTCAGACTTGGTACATCTTAATATTTCCATCAACACATAATCTGTTCTGAAGATGGTAGAGATCGGATCTTCTGTTACCTCCTCAATATAGGGTTCAAGATTTTGAAAAACAAAACGCTCAAAGAAAGCGGAATAAGCATCCAACTCTCTGCAAATTTTATGCATATAAGCATTTTTGCTGACACAAGATCTGTGGTAAAGATGATAAATATCTGTGAAGTCCTTCTGGCACCTCACCCACAAAGCGTAACAATTTTCAATACTTTTGGAATTCTCGCTTTCTATTTTTCTCTGAAGAATTTTAGGTTTTAACTTCTCATGGAGAAGCTTTAGGTCTTTCACTTTTCATAGAAGAGCTGTGGGTATTCTCGTAGGGATGCTATGGGTCTTCTACATCACATCAAACTTAATATCGTTTCGTTTGATTCATTTTAATCCTCTTAAAAGCCTTCAATGTTTTCCAATTCTTTGATTCTGAAAAATCGTTATAGATTTATCAAAAACCACGAAAATGCCATTATTTTCACTCTCTCTCTCTCTCAGCCTTTGTTTTTTTGTCCTTAGCCGCGTTTACCAATTCAATTAAAATGTTTTTCTTTGGCATTATTTTAAAGTCAACACACTCATACACACGACATACATACATGCTGTAAAGCAAACATAGGTTTATCGTCACACACACAAATGCACTCACATTTTCACTTATCTTCAGAAGATGGATTAATAACTTTGTTGAAAAGAGATGGAAGAGTAGTGGGATGGAAATATTGCAAGTCAATGTAGGTAAAGTATAGAGTAATTGAGAATATCAATTTAAACTTTCTATCGAATATATAGCCCAAAAGGAGAATGGTTGTGACATATTCTCTTTTATAAATATAATGTCCCCATGAAAATGGCTATGAAACCATTGACTATTTCACCTAGCAACTGGAGCCCCTATAAATCCACTCTTTCAAATTATTTACCACTTTAAACCATTTCCATCTTCTTAACACATTGACCGGTCTCCTTCTGTCTGGCTTTTCGTTCGTAATGTGTCCCAAGCTTATTATTTACTTTACTGTGAACTATTTTATTGGTCACAATGAGCAAATATTTTCTCATTTAAGTCACAATTTCACTTAGACCCACACATACAAACCAATGCGGGCTTATAGCTCCATAAAAGCTAAGGTTAAGGTTAAATGTCTGATTTAGGCTGATTATGACATGTATTATTTGTAAGGGCGGCAGCTAGTTTTCCAAAAAGATACATTTTTAAGACGTACTATAAAAATAGCTTTTCAGCAAAAAAGACAGAAAGAGAGAAGACCTACAGCTATTAAGGACAAAGGAAGACGTAAAGCATTCTCATGGAAAATAAAAACATAAAGCTCTTCTATGGCAAATAGAAGGCCTTAAGCTCTTAATAAAACACCTAAAGCTTTGCAATAGAATATAGAAGACCTAAAGCTTTTCCATCGTAAATAAAAGACCAAAACGACATAAGGCTATTCTATAGTAAATAGAAGACCTAAAGCGCTTCTATTTTAAATAGAAGACATCAAGCTCTTTTATGAAAAATAGAAGACCCGAAGCTTTTCTATGTAAAATAGTAGACCTTAAGCTCTTCTATGAGAAATGAAGGCCTAAAGCTCTTCTATGAAAAAATAGAAGGCCTAAAGCTCTTCTATAAAAAAATAGAAGACCTAAAGCTCTTCTATGAGAAATAGAAGACCTAAAGCTCTTATATGAGAAATAGAAGACCTAAAGCTCTTCTATGAGAAATAGAAGACCTAAAGCTCTTCTATGAGAAATAGAAGACCTAAAGCTCTTCTATGAGAAATAGAAGACCTAAAGCTCTTCTATGAGAAATAGAAGACCTAAAGCTCTTCTATGAGAAATAGAAGACCTAAAGCTCTTCTATGGGAAATAGAAGACCTAAAGCTCTTCTATGGGAAATAGAAGACCTAAAGCTCTTCTATGGGAAATAGAAGACCTAAAGCTCTTCTATGGGAAATAGAAGACCTAAAGCTCTTCTATGGGAAATAGAAGACCTAAAGCTCTTCTATGGGAAATAGAAGACCTAAAGCTCTTCTATGGGAAATAGAAGACCTAAAGCTCTTCTATGGGAAATAGAAGACCTAAAGCTCTTCTATGGGAAATAGAAGACCTAAAGCTCTTCTATGGGAAATAGAAGACCTAAAGCTCTTCTATGGGAAATAGAAGACCTAAAGCTCTTCTATGGGAAATAGAAGACCTAAAGCTCTTCTATGGGAAATAGAAGACCTAAAGCTCTTCTATGGGAAATATAAGACCTAAAGCTCTTCTATGGAAATAGAAGACCTAAAGCTCTTCTATGGGAAATAGAAGACCTAAAGCTCTTCTATGGGAAATAGAAGACCTAAAGCTCTTCTATGGGAAATAGAAGACCTAAAGCTCTTCTATGGGAAATAGAAGACCTAAAGCTCTTCTATGGGAAATAGAAGACCTAAAGCTCTTCTATGGGAAATAGAAGACCTAAAGCTCTTCTATGGAAAATAGAAGACCTAAAGCTCTTCTATGGAAAATAGAAGACCTAAAGCTCTTCTATGGAAAATAGAAGACCTAAAGAGAAATAGAAGACCCAAAGCTCTTCTATGAGAAATAGAAGACCCAAAGCTCTTCTATGAGAAATAGAAGACCCAAAGCTCTTCTATGAGAAATAGAAGACCCAAAGCTCTTCTATGAGAAATAGAAGACCCAAAGCTCTTCTATGAGAAATAGAAGACCCAAAGCTCTTCTATGAGAAATAGAAGACATAAAGCTCTTCTATGAGAAGTAGAAGACCTAAAGCTCTTCTATGAAATTTAGAAGGGCTACAAACCAACTTATGAAAAGTAGAAGATATACAGATCTCCTATTGAAAAAGGGAACATTCATATATACATAAATATATGTATTTTTCTAGTATGAAAATAGCTCATAATTTTTTCATTTCACAATTTCGCTTATCCTTAATTACATACTTGGGCTTACATACATTCTCCCTGGGCTTATTATAATAGGCATTTAAGTAATGAAATATGTGACAGAGCATAAATTAGACATAATTCGAGAGAATTTCACTACAATGTCTTCATCACGAAGCAGAAAGCTATCTTAGCTCTCCAAATACTGTGCTATGGCATAATGACAAAATTAAATTCAAGCCGATAATCAAGGCCATTGATATTGACCACTTAAATTCTAATCTCTTATCATTCCCTTCCACCCCCCATTTCATTGATTACAACAGGGCATGTTTAAGGACAAGACCAAATACCCAACACTGACACGCATGTCGTATTGCCAGTGCCGTTTGAAATTAGTTTTCGCCAGTGTCTTTCGTCAATTTAATTGGAAACATGTTGCTCTGTTGGTGGATCGTTCCGATTTGTTTTCGCTGACGGTGGGGAAAAATCTGGAATATGGTCTGCGGCAGGAGGGCCTCTTAAGTTTTGTACGTGAGCTAAATGGCAATGAGCAGGAACCGTATGAGCTGTATTTAAAGGATGCCAGCATGTATGCCAGAGGTAAGTTAAACCGAAAATCTTTTTAACAAAACGTTTGTTTTTGTTAATTGAAATGTAAGTGTGCGTGTGTGGGTACGTATGAGTGTTTGTGTGTGTGAAGGGTCCTTAGGGAGAGATTAATATATCTTTTCTTTTTTTTTTTGGAAATTTGCATATGCTTGCCTTTTTCATTTCTACCAGTGGTAATATTATCTGTTCGTGGCACATTGGTAAGAAAATTCATGTTAGCCGCCTATTCTTTGGGTATGACAAATGGTGATTGGGTATTCTTGGATGTGGAGATTTTTCAGGTGGGTGTGGAAATTGAGTTAATTGAATGTAAATTCTTTACAAGTTTATTTCCCTTCTCCGATAAAGAGCTCCTATTGGGGTGACCATGACTGGGAAATGGGTGATGCCGATGATGGAAGAGCCCGTAAGGCCTATGAAGCCCTGTTGCGTGTGTCTTTGTTACAGCCCTCGAGCCCCAAGTATCAAGGATTTGCGGACAACGTCAAGGAAATGGCCTTGAAAAATTACAACTACACCTTTGGAGAGGGAGAGGAGGTACACTTGTTTCAAACTTTGAAATTTAGACAAATCTGAAAAAATTCAATTTTAGGTCAACTTTTTCATTGGTGCCTTCTATGATGGCGTCTATTTGCTAGGCATGGCCCTCAATGAAACCCTAAGTGAGGGAGAAGATATTCGCGATGGCATGGCCATAACCAGACGTATGTGGAATCGCAATTTCCATGGCATAACAGGTCATGTGCGGATCGATGATAATGGCGATAGAGATGCAGATTATTCGATATTGGATTTGGATCCTATTAATGGAAAGTTTGCAGTTGTGGCCCATTACTATGGGTTGCATAGGTAAGCAAATTCGTTTAATGTAAATTGTAAAAATGATGAGGACGAAGTTATCGTAGTGGGTCTTCTTGCTAAACATGCCTTGTAATTCCGTTTTGGGTGAACGGAAGGAGCTGGCAATGTGTTTGTGAATGTGTGCAATTTGTGATAAAGCGGTGATTCAGGAAATGTGTACTACAAGTACACAAAAAGTACTAAATAATACTATAATTGGCATAATTTGGTGTTGGCTGAACAGATAGTGGTTGAAATCTGAAATTTGTTTTGGATATGCGTACTAAATGTTACTAAATTTGGAAAATTCTGAAATTTGATACTGAGATCACTGTTGGTTTCTAGGGTTTCACATTGAAAAAGTTTTGGACAGAAAAAAATGATATGGGTCCTCGGTAAAGTTCAAAATGAACGATTTTAAAGTCTTTTTGGTGTAAAAGGTAAACATTTTCTGATATTTCTTTCCGAAAAGCAAACAACTTGATTAATATATAAAACCTTGGAAGTCTAAAAATGAAGTACTATGTATGAAGTTTTGATTCAAAAAATGTGTCAAACTGAACAAATTGTGAATTTTGAGTACTAGAATGGCCTAACACAAACTGTTGGAATGAATCTAGACTTTTAAGGTGGACCTACTGCTGGCGAAGTCGGAGGCACTTGCTAATAAATCACATACAATGTGAACCGAGATCCCGATTTTGTCCAAACTTATTGCCCAAACAAATTTTGAATAGTAATAGCTCTCATACAATTTAAAACGATTAAAGAAAGGCTTAAAAGCGGGACCGACTTTATGATACCCTACACCACTTTGTATATTAAGTAGAGCTAGCCATAACAAATAAACGTTTTTATGGAGAATTTATTAAGGATTTAATTCAATTATAATTTAAAGTCGAAAGAAACTAATATATGTGAGAATCGAATTCAAAATCCATCTTATTTGAGCTGATATTACACTTTATAGGTCCAATAAATTTGAAATCGGTTGAAGATATATATGGGAGCTATATCCAAATGTGTGTATTTGCTGTATCTAATAGCTGGCGCCAAATATCGTTGTTGTGGTGACCGTTTTACGCGTATGAGGGACTTAAATACAAAATCGGAATACACTTTCTTAGAGGCTGATTTTTTTTCGTATATGCCAAAATCTATTTAATTCCGGCTTATATTAACCATTTAGGGCTCAATAAACTTGAAATCGGGTTAATATATAAGGAGCTATATCCAAATCTAAACCGATCTCGACAAAATTTGCCAAAGGTATTTCTGAGCTGTATTTGATATATTTCCCGAATATGGTTATTACGGAGTTCATAATACGGATGTGGAGGAAAAAAATAACAAATCGGATTAACAATATATATGTGGGTGCTATAGCTATATCTGAACCGATTTCGATCAATTTTGACATGCTTGTTTTTAGCCTCGTCGTTTGGTCGTTTATGCCAAATTCATCCTATTTTGGCTTATATTACACATTTGGTGCACAATAAAGGGCAAATCGGACGAAGATATATATGGAAGCTATATCTAAATTTTGACCAATTATCTCTAATTTCAATTGGGCTAAACAACTGATTTGCGCAAAATTTTATCTCGATCGGGTAATAGATGCGACCTATATTTTGATTACAAAAAAATATGGACAGATGGACGAACGGACAGACAGACATGCATAAATCGACTTAGAATATGATTTTTACAGAACATCAAAGGAACTATGGGTCTATCTCGCTTCCTTCTTGATGTTACAAACAAATGCACAATAACATAATACCCTGACCACAGTGTGGTGTAGGGAATATTTAGTGTTTGATTTTCTGAAAACTTCGCACATCTCAATATTTCTGCTCGTATTATATACAGTTTGAAAATGGGATATGGCAGTCTAATCTCTCCAATAATAGATCTGAAAGGGTAAATCTCTAAAGGGTCACGAACTTTTACTATTCTATTTTCATGCATCAACTCGAAAAAAGGTCAAAAAATGTATCAATAATAATAGGAAATATTGAAATATTTGAAAGATTGATGCAAATATTTTGTTTATATATAATGAAAATACAGATTTCTTTTGTTTGGTGGTTTACTGTGAACCTTACCTGTGAACCTTCTTAACCATATTTTTAGACACTATGTAAGGACTTCCTATTTAGGGACTTCAACGAATTTTAATCCAAAAATTGTACAAAAAGTAAAATTAGGTTACTTTGCGTTCTAACTATTAAAATGCATAGTATTGTTAACGCTATTGCTTGTTAATTCTTTTTTTTCTTAGGAACTATTCCGGTGTACATGGCAAAAAGATTCACTGGCCCGGTGGCAAAGAAGGACCTCCACCAGATATTCCAAAATGTGGATTCCTAGGCAATTCGCCGAAATGTCATGGCAATGGTAAGTTTCTATCCAAACCAATCCACAGCCTTTCTCAATTGTTGGTTTAATATAAATTCACTTTCAGAATTGATCATCGTCTATGCCATGTTTGCACTGATTATCTTCCTGGGGTTTACATTCTTGGTCGTGTATCTTATGTGCAAGTAAGTTTTCAGTTTTTTGTTATCGTACTACTGACGAATTCTTTACTTCTCAGGCAAATGAAATTGAATAATGAACTGAACAATATGTCGTGGAGGGTACGACCTGATGATGTGCTGCTGGAAGTTGGACGTTTGTATGGCAGCAAGGTTGGCCTGCAGAAATTAAATGCAGAGGTAAGAGGATCCAACGGATAAGGATTAGTTTACACATCTGCTCTGCTTCAGAAACTGCAGGATTGTAAAGATGTTATTACGAAATTTAAGTTTTAAAAAAATTGCAAAACTAGCAGGTTTCAAAGCTCAGATTTGCTCATTTCCACTCGGAAGCGAAACTTGCACCCGAGCAGGATTGCTCAAAGAGTGGGAGTTTTTTTACGGAGTACACTCTTCACTCTTTTGTTTTGTGTGGGAGCACTCCTGATTGAAAAATGAGCGTGGGAGCATTTTGTTATTACGAAATTTAAGTTTCAAAAAATTGCAAAACTAGCAGATTTCAAAGCTCAGATTTGCGAAACTTGCACCCGAGCAGGATTGCTCAAAGAGTGGGAGTTTTTTACGAAGTGTACTCTTCACTCTTTTGTTTTGTGTGGGAGCACTCCTGATTGAAAAATTAGCGTGGGAGCATTTTAATTGATTTTATTGTTTTTGTTACGTTTGCCACTGGTGGTTGCAAATACACAAAAATACATACAAACACAACTCTTTGCTCGGCAAGGGTAGATCTGCTCGATTTTCAATAAATTTTGCTCCCACTCAAAAACGAGGAAAATATGTTCACTCCTATTCGAGGGACATCGACAAAATAAGTGCTCAACATTTTTTTCTGCTCCCAAGAGCGCACTTGCTCGAATTCGAGAGAGTTTTACTATTAGATTCATATACTAAAAGAATTTTGCAGCATTTTTGTAGTATACATTTAGGCGCAACCAGCAATATTTCAACTATGTCATAACTTATACATTGGGTGTATTTGTTTAAACAATTTGCAAAATAGTGGTATTATCTCCATGTGCATTTGTTTGTAACATGGAGACGGAAGCGAGGTAGATCCATAGTTACTTTTGGGAATCTTCATAGAATCACTTTCTGAGTCTATTCATGCATGTCAGACCGTCTGTCAGACCGTCTGTCCGTCCGTCTGTCCATGTATGTTTGTGGAGAAAATACAGATAGCATTTAGTATCCGATTGAGATGAAATTTTCCAAACAATATTTGGTTGGCCCACGGACGAAACCTATCGAAATTGGTGATAATCGGTTCAAATTTAGATATAGCTCCCATATATATCTTCAACCGATTTCGTGTTAATTGTACACCAAATAACCAATATCAGTCCAAATGACTTCAATTTTGACATATCCGACCGAATTCAGTCTAGAAGCAAGTACATCAAATCGGTAGCTATAGCTCCCATATACATGTTTTATCCCATTTTGTGTTTTAAGTTTCTTACATGCGAGATATCAGATACATCCCAGAAATACCTCTGTCAAATTTTATCGAGATCGAATGAGATTTGGATATAGCTCCCATATATATCTTAATCCGATATTAGTTTTGTTGTGCATCAAATGACCTGAGTTTTGGCACATCCGACCGAATTCAGTCTAGAAGCAAGTACATCAAATTTGGAGAAAATCAGTTCAGGTATAGCTATTGCTTACATACCTATGTTTCATCCGATTTGGGGTTTTAAGTCCCTCACATACGTTATATGCACTTCAAAAGAATGATATTTGGTACCAGATAAGGTATGGAGCTCAAAAATACCTCTGTAAAATTTTATTGAGATCGGATCAGATTAGGATATGGCTTCCATACATATTTATTATCCGATATCAGGTTTATTGTGCACCAAAAGGCTAATATCAACCCAAATGAACTGAATTCATCCTAAAAACTACTTCTTCAAATTTTGGTGAAAATCGGTTCAGATATAGCTATTGCTCCCATATATATTTTTCATCCGATTAGGTGTTAAAATCCTTCAGATGAGTAATATGTACTCTATAACAATTATACCGGTCATCAGATACTGCTGGAAAATACATCTGCCAAATTTTATCGAGATCGGTTCCGATTTCACGGTTATTGCTCACCATATATCTAATATCAGCCCAAATTAAATAGGTTTTTTCTATACACAACTGAAGTTTACTATTTGGTGTTACTAGATCCGGTATATCTATTGATCTAAAAAATATTTTGTAATATAATCCTTATCGAAGTCATATCATTATTATTTGGTTCATAGTTGGTATGATCTACTTAACATAAATTCCCAATATAAACTTAGATGGTGTGGGGTATCATATATTTGGCCCAGCCCAACTTTTGACCTCTCCTTACTGGTTTCATTTTAAAAATTGTGGGATCCTCTAAAAATATTCTCAAAATATTCAAATCATAAATATAAAAAAGTCACTAACATAAAGTGTAAACAAGCCTTAAGCTCTTTTTCACTCGAAATTATACCTACCAAATCTCTCTTTCTCTCTACAGAATTTCTCTTTGCAACAATATGGTATACATTCGGGAAGAGCGTCCATTGCAAGCTGTACTTCGCTGCCCTTGACTCAGGTATTCACCACCATTGGCATATTCAAAGGTGAGCGTGTGGCCATCAAGAAAATCCACAAAAAGAAAGTGGATATAACCTCAACTTTGCTGTGGGAAATCAAACAAGCTCGCGATGTAAGCCATGAGAATACTGTACGTTTTGTGGGAGCCTGTATAGACTTGCCGCGGCCTACAGTGTTGATTTTAACCGAATATTGTCCAAAAGGAAGTTTAAAGGATGTTCTAGAAAATGACGCCATACAACTTGATTGGAATTTCCGGATGTCCTTGATCCATGACATTGTCAAGGGTATGGCATATTTGCATAACAGTGATGTTCAGGTCCATGGTAAACTGCGTTCGTGTAATTGTCTCATTGATGGTCGTTTTGTATTGAAAATCTCCGATTTTGGGTTAAGGACACTGACAACACCATCAGAGTTTGTTAAGGATCAAAATTATTTCAATAGTAAGTAGCGGCCATGGTAATCAGGGATGGGACTTTTTCATAGGGAAACAAAAAAGTGGTTTGGTGAAAAATCAGATGTAATAATAAAAAGTTTGGTTCATTGTAGAATTCATGTGGATTGCTCCAGAGCTGCTGCCGCTAACCGTCTTTCCCGGTAATCCTGCAACCCAGAAGGGTGATGTCTATTCCTTTGCCATAATTTTGGAGGAAATTGTTGTGCGTGGTGGACCCTATGAAACAGCACGTCAATTTATGGATATACAAACAATATTGAATCGCGTCGAATCTCATGAAAGTCCACCGTTTCGTCCATTTGTGGGTCAGCGTGATTGTCCACCCGATGTCTTGGATTTAATGGAGAAATGTTGGGCAGATCACCCGGATGATAGGCCGGCATTTGGGGCTATACGTTCCACTGTGCGATTGATAATGAAGTAAGTATTGGTATGGGAGAGATTATGAGTGGTGGTGGGAGAAAATAGAGAATAAAATTAAAGTTTTTATTTTTCTAGTGAGATTTATTCAGTAAGCTCTTTATGGGGAGTAAAATGGGTTTATCTTTTCCATACGAAACATTAATCTAATAGGGATTAAAAATTTGAATTTGAAAATCATTTTATTATTTGTTAATAAATTTAGCCCATTGTCTCATGTTTGTACCCTTTCAGAGGCTTTTGTGAAAATCTTATGGACGATTTGCTGCGGCGCATGGAACAGTATGCCAATAATTTGGAAAGTTTGGTTGAAGAGAAAACCGAACAGTTGAGTATTGAAAAGAAACGTACCGAAGAATTGCTGTATCAGGTTCTGCCACGACCAGTGGCCACACAGCTGCTGGCCGGTGAAATGGTACAGCCGGAACAATTCGAATGCGTGACCATATATTTCAGTGATATTGTTGGCTTTACGGCTCTCTGTGCTCAAAGTGGACCCATGGAAGTGGTGGACTTTCTCAATGATTTGTACAGTACTTTTGATCGTATTATTGGATTTTATGATGTGTACAAGGTATGGGGAGAGTCATGTCTATTTGAATTTAGTTTTATCTTTTTTTCTTCTTGTTTTTAGGTGGAAACAATAGGCGACGCTTACATGGTGGTATCGGGTCTGCCGGAACGTAATGGGGATAATCACGCCCGAGAAATAGGCCTAATGGCTTTGGCCATTTTGGACGCTGTAAAAAGTTTTAGCATAAAACATAAACCTGAGTATCAATTGAAAATTCGAATTGGAATTCATTCGGGCCCGGTGTGTGCTGGGGTGGTGGGTCAAAAAATGCCACACTATTGTCTGTTTGGAGATACAGTGAATACTGCATCGCGCATGGAATCTACTGGGATGCGTAAGTTTAGCTGCCCCATTAATTATAATATTTAAAATTGAGGTTTTTTTTAAAGAACATTCTGGCCTTCTATGAGAAGACCATTCTGAACTTCTATTGAAAGACCGCCTGGTCTTCTTCTATGAGAAGACTTTCTGGTCTTCTTCTATGAGAAGACTTTCTGGTCTTCTTCTATAAGAAGACCTTCTGGTCTTCTTCTATGAGAAGACCTTTTGGTCTTGTTCTATGAGAAGACCATTCTGGTCTTCTATGAGATGACCATTTCTGACCTTTTTTGAGAAGACCATTCTTGTCTTCTTCTATGAGAAGGCCTTCTGGTCTTCTTCTATGAGAAGACCGTCCTGTCTTCTTCTATGAGTATACCTTCTGATATTACGGTCTTCTAAGAGAAGACCATTCTGGTCTTCTTCTATGAGAAAACATTATGCCCTTTGTTTATGGGAAGACCATTCTGGTCTTCTTCTATGAGAAGACCATCTGTTCTTCTTCTATGAGAAGATCTTCTGGTCTTCTTCTATAAGAAGACCTTCTGGTCTTCTTCTATGAGAAGACCTTTTGGTCTTGTTCCATGAGAAGACCATTCTGGCCTTCTATGAGATGACCATTCTGACCTTTTTTGAGAAGACCATTATGGCCTTCTAAGAGAAGACCATTCTTGTCTTCTTCTATGAGAAGACCTTCTGGTCTTCTTCTATGAGGTCTTCTTCTATGAGAAGACCGTCCTGTCTTCTTCTATGAGAATACCTTCTGATATTATGGTCTTCTAAGAGAAGACCATTCTGGTCTTTTAAGAGAAGACCATTCTGGTCTTCCTCTATGAGAAATCATTATGCCCTTCGTTTATGGGAAGACCTTCTGGTCTTCTTCTATGAGAAGACCATCTGTTCTTCTTCTACGAGAAGATCTTCTGGTCTTTCATCTATGAGAAGACCTTCTGGTCTTCTAATATGAGGAAACGGTCCTGTCTTCTTCTATGAGAAGACCTTCTGATCTTCTTCTATGAGCAGACCTTGTGGTCTTCTAGGAGAAAACCATTTTGACCTTCTATGAGAAGACCATTCTGACCTTTTTGAGGAGACCATTCTGGTCTTCTTCTATGAGAAGACCTTCTGGTCTTCGTTTATGGAAAGACTTTTTGGTCTTCGTTTATGAGAAGATCCAATGGTCTTCTTCGAGAAGGCCTTCTGGCCTTCTTCTATGAGCAGACCATTCTGGTCTTCGTCTATGAGAAGGCCTTCTAGTCGTTTATAGGAAGAGCCTCTCTTGTTCCATAAGAAAACTGTCTTCTTCTTTCTTTAAGAACTCGTTTAGGTCTTCTGTAAGAAGACCTTGTGGTCTTCCATTAAAAGACTCTGGTATTCTATAAGATTGCCTCTTTTAGGCAATCGTCTTGTCTTCAAAATGAAAAATTTCTGGACTTTTATGAGAACATCTTCTGGGCTTATATAAGAACATTTTCTGGACTATGAGAACATCTTCTGGGCTTATATAAGACGAACTTCTGGTCTTCTATAAGTAAAAATTATGTTTTTATATGAGAATACCTTTGGGTATTCTATATGAAAACTTTTTGGTTTTCTATAAGAAACCCTTTTAGTCTTCTACAGGCAAGCCTTCTGAAGAATCCTCCAGATCCTTCTCCATTAAAATCTTATTTTCTGATTTCTTTTCGTTCTATTCTGGTTTTTTTTAGCCCTACGCATTCATGTCTCATCGGCAGCAAAGGTAATTTTCGATAAGTTTGGAACCTTTGAAATGGAATTGCGCGGCGAAGTCGAAGTCAAGGGCAAAGGTACGGTGACAACATATTGGCTTGTTGGTTGCTCCGAACCGGATCCAAGGCCACCAACACCACATAAAAATAATAACGATGATGTTCCATTCCCCATCCTCTTTCCGGCCATTGGCAAATAAGGATTTTTGGAACCAATACAAAATGTATGTTGCTGTTATGAGATACGCTCTCTCACTCTCTCTATGTTGCTTATAAACGAACGAAATTACCATGCTTTATCCCACTGTAGTTCAATTATAGTTAAGTATTGGAAAATGTGTGCTCAGAAAACCAAATTCGAAATTTCTCTTCCATAACTACGAAGTGATATGTTTGAATATTCGTTTTACTTAAGATTGTAGATGTAAGATGAGGAATTTTTTGCGAGTAGGAATATATGAAATGTTAGGTTATGTTAATGTGTATTTTATATGTATGTATTGTGAAGACTAATAGTTTGCAGTGTAATAGGCTTTTTGGAGATATTGTGGAGAATTTTGTATTTTTCCAACCGTGCGGTAAGTATTGCTAGTTTTAATATTCATATGTACAAGAAGTAGTATGTTCACCGAGTATGAGAACAGATATATTTTATATGAATGATTTTGAATGTATATTTTTTGAAATAAATCTTAATGTTAAATGTTTAACATAAAACAATATGTGTATTGTTTTTTTAGAAAAAACCAGTAAAGAAAGTCTTAAAGTCGGGCGGGGCCGACTTTATGATACCCTACACCACTTCGCTAATTTAGTTGAGCTCCACATAACAATTAAAAGTTTTTATGGGAGAATTCAATCATACACGCTATGATTATTATTATAATTTAAAGTTCAAAGAACTAAATATGCCGAAGCATTTGTATCTTTTAAATTCGGAGTTGTATTGCCCATTTGGTGCACAATTAATCTAAAATCGGATAAAAATATATATGGGAGCTATATCCAAATCGGAACCGATCTCGATAAAATTTGGCAAAGATATTTCTGAGCTCTATTTGATATATTTCCCTGAATATCGTTGTTACGGAGTGCATATTACGGCTGTGGGTAACAAATATGACAAATCGGATGAACAGTATATATGGGAGCTATAGCTATATCTGAACCGATCTTCACTAAATTTGACATACTAGCTTCTAGACTCAATTCGGTCGTAAGTGCCAAATTTCATCCAATTTGGGCAAATATTAGACGTTTGGTGCACAATCCAATGTAAATCGGACGAAGTTATATGTGGGAGCTATATCCAAATCTGAACCGATCTCGATAAAATTTAGCAAATGTATTTCTGAGCTATATTTGATAAATTTCACCAAATATTGTTGTTACAGAGTGCATATTACGGCTGCGGAGGACAAAAATAACAAATCGGATGAACAATATATATGGGAGCTATAGCTATATCTGAACCGATTTCGATGAAATTTGGCATACTTATTTTGAGGTCCAATCTGATCGTACATGCGAAACTCCACACTATTCGGACTGCTATTACACGTTTGGTGCACAATAAAAGGCAAATCGGACGAACATATATATGGGAGCTATATCTAAATTTTGACCGATTATCTCCAATTTCAATAGGGTTCGTCCTTGGGCCGAACAAATGATCTGTGCAAAATTTCATATGGATCGGGCAATAAATGCGACCTGTACTTTGTTTACAAAAATACATGGACAGACGGACGGACGGACAGACGGACGGACGGACAGACGGACGGACGGACGGATAGACGGACGGACGGACATGCATAAATCGACTTAGAAAGTGATTCTATGAAGGTTCTCAAAAGTAACTATGGGTCTATCTCGTTTCCTTCTCCATGTTACAAACAAATGCACAAAGACATAATACCCTTACCACTATGTGGTGTAGGGTATAAAAAGAATGAAATCTAGAGAAGGGTGGTCGTCCTCATGGAAGATCTGACTATGTAAGATGGTTTCACTTTCGAAGACAAGAAATTTTTGAAATAGAAGGTCTCTAGGCCTTGCTATAAAAAGATTCGATATTGTTCAAAAAAAAAAAAAAAAAAATAAAATAAAAAATAATAATAATAATAATAATAATGGAATATCTTTCGAAGTTTAGCTACTTTGCGCCTAATTTGATATTGAAACTATTTTGTAGGTGGTTTGCCTTTTTATTCCTGAGGATCAGCTATTTTTATCATGCAAAGATGCCCCGATATCTCTAATATGCCAAACTCTTAAATGAATTAGAAAATCTTTCAACTTTTTGGAATTTTGAATGAGGAGAATTGCAATCATACCTTTGCCAATATTCGTCGCCTGAAGAAGCACCCTATAGACCAGAAGATATTCAATATACGAAGGTCTTACTATATAAGGATCTATGGATGAGCAAAATATATGTTATTAAAATCGGCTATATCTGCGTGTCTGGTGAGCCAGTGCCTACTTCTATTAAACTTAGATCTGGTCGAAGATAGTCAAAATTGGTCAACTACTATACAGGGTGAGATAAAAAACCTGCAACAAAGTCCAACGTCATAATTTTTACATTTTTTTTTTTAATTTTATTGAATGAAAGCAAAAAATGTCGGAAAAAGCATCAAATTTTAGAATACATTTAGATTTGTGTCGTGGTCATCTTTGGTGAAACCGTCACACGCTGCCCGAATGTGGCTCTGCGGTATTTTGGCCCATTCCAGGCGAAGCGCTTGTTTGAGGTGATCGACACTTTGGTATTTTTCAGTGCCAACCTCGCTTTCCAAAACACTTCAGACACAATAGTCCAACGAATTGGTATCCGGAGATTTCGGTAACCATTGTGCGCTGGAAATAAAGCTAGGAACCTCATTTTGTAACCATTCTTGGATGGCGAGTGCGATGGTGCTGAATCCTGTTGGAATATCCAAGGTCTGCGGCTAAAATGTTTGCGTGCCCAAGGCTTTAATATACCCTCCAGAGAGCGACCATCGTCTGTTATGGCGGCCCATACCTTCACCATGATCGGCGCTTGAGTTCTGGTGTGGTGGTCAATCGAAGGTGCACATTTTCAGCTGACCTCTTGGGCCGTTCACCACTTTCGGCCAAGCGAAGCAACTCTTTAACTCTTTTGAGTCTATTTTCTTTCTGTTGCGGTGTAAGTTTTTGCACTGTTTTGAATTTTAAAGGCTGCACCCCTCATTTTTCAATATTTGCCGAATGGAATATTGCGATATGTTTAGCTCTCGAGACATTTTTCGGCCACTGCAACGCGGGTTTCGATCAAGTCGCTTTTTTACTTTCCGAACCATTTCTGCTGATGTGGCTTTTTTCTTTCGTCCACTTTCTTGATGTCGGGCTACACTACCAGTATCACGGTAACGAGAGATGGTACGAGACACATAAGATTTATTCACATTTAAATGCTGGAATGCTCTAACGATAGCCACTTGTGGTCTTCCAGCCGAATATAAATCACGAATAACTTTTTTCTGGAAAATTCTTACCAAAATGCTTTTGTACGCTTGTAAACAATATAATGAGCTATCACTGGAATAATTTTAAACAGCTATCGGACGAGTGGTTTAGAAATTACAGCAGTCTGAAGTTGGTTGCAGTTTTTTCATCTCACCCTGTATATTACAAAGACATAGAAGAATAGAGATAGGACAAGACATTGTCACCAGTTGTGAATACCTCTGTTGTTTTTATATCGTAACACCATAGTTACCAATGTTAAGCAATTTAAACCGTTAAGACAATATGCAATGAATTGGGAAATTGTACTAAATGGAATTTTAAAACCAAATTTTTGGATTATTCTAAATTTCTTTTGTTATTATTTTCTATAATTGTGTTTTTTTATATTAACATGCCTCTGTCATGAGCTGTTATTTAAGGTAGTATAGCCACAAACCATATACTAAGAATGCATTGTGTCTGGTCTTTACCATTTTAAGTCTTTGGTCCTTAACATTTTAGGTCTTTGCAAGGAGTCTTTAATTGTTTCTTTCAACCCCAATCCAATGTTAAATAACATTAACACTTAACATAGCAACCCTAAAGCTTTTTTCTTGAAGCTTTTAAAAAGGACATTGAAAAGCTTTTTTGTTTGGACAATACTCCGCATGTGTGTGTGTGTGCATGTGGGCAAATGTCAAAACAAACATATGATAGGTAGATACAACAACAAAGTCCCATTTATTATCCTTACAATGACTTTAGCTGTCAAAATGTGAAAAAAACGGTGCTGAAAGAACAAAAACGGAAAGAAAAATTTCACACAAAAATATCCTTTAGAATACGCTTAAAATAAATTGAATTGAAAACTACTTCATAAATTTAGAAAATGAATTGAAAACAACTTAGTTGTTAGTGTAGTTACTTGTAGTTACAGACAACAAGGACAGTGAAAATAGCAAATAATGTAGTGAACTAACCTCAGACTTTATACATAGAATAGAGTCCTTGCAAAAATGTTGCTCAACGCAAAGTTCAAGTTAAAGGAATAAAGGAATTCAGTTTTGTGTTTTGGAGGATAAACCACCACCGTTGAAATAAAATAAATAGTCTATTGCCGGGGAGTATTGTACAATTCCACCAACAACCAATAGCCAGCCTTCTGCTCCTTTGTTCATCTTGTGTAACCTAGTCTATCAACAACATCCGGTCATCATGAAAATAATGCGTTTGCGGCATGCCAAATTGATTGTCGTCCTAATTGTCATTGCCAATCTGATACTTTTCTACTATTCCTGGAAATCGACATTGTGGAAAAACATTGCTGCCTCTCTCACCCTGCCCAGCATGGAAACATATGATTTGCTCAAGAAACCCTCACAGGCACATGTGGAGAAGTCACCCAAGGAGAAGGCGAGAAATGCCTTCAAACACATACGTAAATCTATTACCATTGTCTTTCGTACCTTCTACACATTTGAGAATGACATCAAGGATTCGATTGACAGCATTTTGGATGTGATACCAAATATGCCGATTGTGGTCTACCTAGAGGGCATACCCTATCCACCGTTGGTGTATCAGCGAAACAACTCTGCCGGTGGCCAGGAGACAAGTGTGCGTTTTGTTAATTTAGGCTTTGATCTGGTCAAACCGGTTCACGAACTCAACCCCCTCTCGGCCGTACATACCAAATATGCTCTCTTTATGCCCGACAGTGTCCGCTTGAGCAGTAAAAATCTGTTGCAGAAAATCTTACGGGAAATCAATACCAACAGCTGGGAAAATAAAGATGCCAAAGCTGTGCTGAAATCCAAATCAATGATAGCACCCGAGGAAGTGGTGCGTCGGGTGATTATTGTACCATTTGCCGGGAATTTGAAATCATTTGTGGGCTGTATACAAATCACGTTGGATTTGCCGAATTGGACGATACAATATACGGCCGTAAATAGTACAAGTGATAAATGTGATTTGGTAAGGGATACCGATGCTGGAAAACTACTGAGAAATGTTGAGAATTGAAATTTACATTCCGTACTTTCAGTTTTTACAAAAACATGCTTTGCTGGTGGATGTTGGGGTGCTAAAAGAAATGCCAGAACCACTAGCTGCACCATTTCCGGAAATGTTCTATATCCAGGCGAAGTTGAGTAATATAACGGTAAGTATAAGTAATTTTTAAATGAGAACCTAAAGGTGTTCTAGGGAAAGGAAATCATTTAAGAATTTTCTATGGACAAAATATCGCCTAAATGTCTTCTATGGATAGAAATCTCCGTAAGAGTATTTAATTGATAAAATTCGATCGACGATTTCTTCGGAAACGAGACTTAAAAAAAATTGATGAAGATCCCCTAAAGATGTTCTACGAATGGAAAACATTCTTGAGCCTTTCTATGGATAAAAGACTTCATAAAAAACTTCTACCGTATAGCATTGCTATATGGATTTTTAAAGGGATTTCAAAGGATTCAAAGACTGTAGTTTCCATTACGAACTCTACAAACGAAATTGGAAACAACTCACGTGAATAATGTAGCTAAAATCATCAAAATACCGAATATACGGAGGAACTGTTATATCGGGGCTATGCATAGACAATTTTCTGTCATAGGCTGTAATATCCATTACGAACTTCAAATACTAAATTTGAAACAATTCCGGAGAATAATGTCGCTAAAATCATCGAAATACCGAATATCGGAAGGTAACGTTATATGAGATCTATACGAAGGCGTCGATGATATGCACAGAAATTTTCTGACAGGCTGTAATATCCATTACGTACTTCAAATACCAATTTTGAGTCAATTAAATCACCAAAATACCGAATATAGGGAGGTACCATTATATGGAAGCCATACCAAAACGTGGACCTACATGGTCCATTTCCATTTGCAATACCAAAAGCCCTGCAGACATAATATGCATTTGTGTAAAATTTTATGAACCTACTTCATTTCGTTCGGAAGCTAGAGTAATTTTCACAGACGGACATAGCTAAATCGACATAGAATTTTATGCTGTTCAAGAATATACAGAGTGAGATAAAAAACGGCAACAAAGGCAAACCCCAAAATTTGTACATTTTTATACCCTCCACCTTGGAAAGGAGGGTATATTAACTTTGTCATTCCGTTTGTAACATCCCTAAATATTCGTTTTAGACCCCATAAAGTATATATATTCATAATCAGCATAAAATTCTAAGTCGATTTAACGATGTCCGTCTGTCTGTCTGTCCGTCTGTCTGTCTGTCTGTTGAAATCACGATACAGCCCACATTATTTGACGTAGAGCTCCAAAATTTAGCAGAGCTATTTGCATTGTGTCTAGGATGGTTGGTATTGAAAATGAGATATATCGGTCCACGTTCTGGTATAGTCCCCATATAACGGTACCTCCCGATATTCGGTATTTTGATGATTTATGCCACATTTTTTCACGGATTTGTCTTAAAACTGGTATTTGTAGGTCATAGCGGGTCCCTGAGCGTGTGGCAAAACATTGCATGTATAGGTCCACGTTGTGGATATAGCCCCATATAAAGGTACCTCCCGATATTTAGTATTTTAGTTTTTTTTACCACATTTTTTCACGGATTTGTCTGAAAATCGGTATTTGTTGGTCATAATGGGTTCCAGCTCCGGTGGCGAAACATTGTAATTATAGGTCCACGTTTTGGTATAGCCCCCATATAACGGTACCTCCCGATATTCGGTAATTTGATGATTTTTGCCACATTTGTTCGAAAATTGGTATTTGTTGGTCATAATTGGTTCCAGCTTCGGTGGCGAAACATTGCATGCATGGGTCCATGATTTGATATAGCCCCCATATAACGGTACCTCCCGATATTCGGTATTTTGATGGTTTTTGCCACATTTTTTCACTGATTTGTCTAAAAATTGGTATTTGTTGGTCATAATGGGTTCCAGCTCCGGTGGCGAAACATTGTAATTATAGGTCCACGTTTTGGTATAGCCCCCATATAACGGTACCTCCCGATATTCGGTAATTTGATGATTTTTGCCACATTTCTTCTAATGTTTCTACCCTAAGGTGGAGGGTATTAAAAGTTTGGCCCGGCCGAACTTAATGTTTTTTTACTTGTTTTTTTAATTAAATAGCATCAAATTTTAGAATAAGTTTAGATCTGTTCGAATTGGTCACCTTTGGCACGAATTATGATCTTCAAACGGCCAATGAAACCGTGTGTGGCGCGTTCTGGAAATCCAATGTCTGCGGCCAAGGCTAGAATATTTTCGCGATAATAGTCGGCATTTATTCTGATGCCACGGTCGATTAATACGAGCGGAGAGTGGCCATCGGCTGTTATGGCGGTCCACACCATCACCATGGCCGGCCCTTCAGTTCTGATGGCCAACCGAAGGTGCACATTTTCAGCTGACCTCTTTGGCTGACCTCTTTGTTTGTTTACAAACTGCTGGACAACGAATGTTTTCTTATCGGAGAAAATCAAATTCGGCAGTTCACCACTTTCGGCCAAGCGAAGCAACTCTTTAGCTCTTTTGAGTCTATTTAATTTAAGTTCTTGCACTTTTTGGAATTTCAATGGCTTTACCCCGAGCTCATTTTTCGATATTTCAGCCACTGTGACGCGGGTTTCGATCAAGTCGCTTCTTTACTTTCCGAACTATTTCTGCTGATGTTGCTGTTTTCTTCCGTCCACTTCTTTGACGTCGGCCTACGCTACCAGTATCACGGTAACGAGCGATGTTACGCGACACAAAATATTTATTCACATTTAATTGCTGGAGTGCTCTAGCGATTGCTACTACGAATAATACGAATACGAATAACTTTTTTTCTGGAAAATTCTCACCAAAATGCCTTTGTACGCTTGTAAACAATATGTTGAGCTGTCACTGGAATAATCTTAACAGCTGTCGGTCGAGTGGCTTAGAAATGACAGCAGTCTGAATTTGGTTGCAGTTTGTTTCATATACTTTGTGGGGTCCAAAATTATTATTTCGATGAGTTACAAACAGAGCGACGAACTTTATATACCCTCGTAATATGTATGGTGGAGGGTATAAAATACAGCGCGGTAGGTGTATCACTTTCAAAATAAATGAGGCGAATATATATTGGAGCTACATGTAAATCTGAACCGATTTCGATTAAATTTGTCAAAAGTATTTCTAAGCTGTATCCGATACCTCGTACCGAGTAGAATTGTTATAGAGTTCAGAATTGTTATAGAGTTCACTCTTAGGAACCTATATCTCAAATCGGATGAAAGTTATATGTGGGAGCTATATCTTAATTCTGTCGATTTGGCAGATGTTGTTCTCATCATAACCAGCACCTACTCATTATAACTTAGGTCTACAACATGCTATTGGTCCCATAGTGCAGTGAATTGATTACACTGACCATAAAATGGAAGAAGCTCGCGATGAACTTTCTTAACAGAGAACACTTTTTGTAATAATAAAAATCAATGATTATAAACCAAACTGATAATGTGTATGTAGTAGTGAAGCAAAACACGAAATGTGTGTGTTGCAAAATCACCCTTTAGTGTAAATTGGTACTACTAAACTACTCAATGAATTTAATATTCTTTTTTTTCAGAAATTCGTTTTCCCCACCTCATTTCAAGATGGACGACGGCTATTTGCGGCGTATCACACCAAGCAGAGACGTACCGATATTAGACGACGACAGTTTCGTGAAATGTATAAAAAATTACAAATTAAACGCATCGTTCGACGATCGCACAAGGTGTCCATTAAAAGCGATTCCAAAGATTCCTCATCGTATAATGTCCAACATAATTTGGTATTGGATACCCAGTTCTCTTCGTCGAATTTCTCCTTGCCCCAAGTTACCGACATCGACTTAATCGGTTGTGAACGTACCACCAAATCGTGTGTGGGTACCGTCTATAATCAACGTCCATTTTATGTCTATCTGGGTAAACATACTCCGCCCTGTTGTTTGGATAAACTAAAGAGTACCTTCAACCATGTCCTTGAGGAATTTGAGAATGTCGGCATTCGCTATTGGTTAGACAATCAGGCTCTGCGCACAGCCATAGATACGAATCGTTTGTCACCGGACGCCTACGACATTGACATAAGTTTTAATGTCAACGATTTGGAGCGTTCCAATTCGCTGAAGAAATCGCAAAATAAACCCTATGTTGATAATGAGGGTTTCTATTGGATCAAGGCCACCGATGGTCATTATTTCAAGGTGCAGTTTTCCAAAATAAATCAAATCGGAGTTAATCTCTTGCCATTCGAGATCAGTGGCAATGTGGTTAAACCGAATGGCTTCTTTGGCTGGAAAGCAAAACCATTCTCTGCCGATTTCCTACATCCCATGTCGACGGTGCTATTTTTGGGTAAAAATATTATGTGTCCCAATAATGTAAGAGATTATTTAGAATTTAAGAGTATTCCATAGATGGCGTGAAAGCAAAGGAAATAGAATTGAAGTACTTTATGAGTTTATAAAACAACAGACTTTTAGCCACATAAGTACCCAGAGTTCTCTACAGATATAAGTGAATAACATCCTATCCTTACATAGTCTAATCGTAGCTTATTTAGATTTAGTTAGGTTATGTGATTTTGTTTTGACACTTTCAATATTCTAGAAATGTGGCATGCCACAATAGTTTAGTTAAGTAATTTGCCAAGCACTGAAAGTTGCATTGAAAGTAAAGTTTCCTTCTACGCTTCTACGCCATTTCCAAATGTAATTCATTTTATTTTAGTATTTATTCGTAATATTTCATTTATAGATCTGGTATTCCATTTGTAACATCGAAACATTTAAATTGTAATTTGAAAATTCCATTTGAAATTCGAAACATTCTATTTAAAATCCGAATTATTACATTTGCTATTCGAATTACTTTATCCGCCAATATATACGAAAATGCAAAAAAATTATTTTGAATTATAAATGGAAAATTCTAATTTGAAATAGAATATAACAAATTTCAAACTACAACTGAAAAGTTACGAATATCAAATACAATCTTTTGAATTACATCTGAAAAGGGTGTAGTTAGACACACTTTTACAATTCCTGTGCCATAGATTTTTAGAAAATTTTGACAAATGTTGATTGTAATTAAATTACTTTTAATTATCCCCTATCTCCCCCTCGGTTCTCCATTGTTAATACATTTAATATAAATAAACGCAACCAAAAGCTATGTTTTTCGAAAAAAGTTTAGCCTTATATTTGTCAGTAAGATATAGTGAGTTTAAAACACCTACACGTACACCTACATACATACACTAACACACTTATTCAGTTATATTATATAGATATATAAATAAATACATAATTACATACATATTCCTAATTGATTGATCATCTGTAAAGAAATAACACTACCTATATAACTAAAGAAAAAAAAAAATAACACCAACAATAAATAAAACACTTTAAAAGTATTGAAAATAGAATTTTCTTTTTGGAGTCTATATATATATTCGGTATTTTGATGATTTTAGTTATTGTATTGCTGACTTATTCTCGAGTACATATTGAATTTATGATATATATATATATATATATATATATATATATATATATATATATATATATATATATATATATATATATATATATATATATATATATAAAATCATAAAATCATCAAAATATATATATATATATATATATATATATATATATATATATATATATATAGAATAAGTCAGCATATATATAAAAAGCATCCGAAGTAAGCATCCGATTTCCGTCAAATTTCAAACATCCCATATATATATATATATATATATATTATGGGATGTTTGAAATTTGACGGAAATCGGATGCTTACTTCGCTTACTTTATAAACGGTCTTAAGTTAGTAGAATTATGTGGATGTGTGAAATTTGAAGACAATCGGAAATTTCGACCTTTTGGGTGGTACCAGAAGGAGTGAACTGATATTGCCCATGATTCGATCTGTGTTTGATAATAATATTACGATGTAGGGTAAGTGTACCAGTAGTTTGCACTTTTAGGATTTTCGTGTTTTTAATCGCTCACAATTCTGAATGGAAGTTTTCAATTATTACAAAGTTAATTTATTCAGATTCGAAATTTTGTATAGTTTTTTGCAATAATAAATAAAGTTTTAATAACTTTTTATTCAATTTCATAAATTTGTAGTTTCATTAAAACAATGCTTTTTTGCCAGTAGTCGGCACCACTTGCCAATTGTCGGTATGGCATGTTCCAACAGTCGGCATACCAATTTTTTGTAAGCATAATTAATAAAAATAATAAATTAATTCATTAAAATATAAAATATTTGTTTAGTTAAACTGATTCGACGTCTTTATTGTACTTTTCTTAAGAATATGGATTGTTGAGGACCTTCACAGACAAAAAATTTATTTTTTTAGAATAAATCATCTTTTCTTAGCGAAATTGTACACAAAGATAGCTGACAATATATTTGAAGTAAACAAAATACATTTAGTTATAATTGTTTAATTTATTTGGGCTTAAAAATAAAAAGTGCCGACTACTGGGACATGCCGAACTTAGGCACACTAACCCTACCAAGTTTGGACCAAATCGGATACTCCCGTCGAGAGTTATCGTGTGAACCAGCCAGCCACGGACGGACATCGCTAGATCGACTCCAAATGTCCTGAGAAGGATTTTGTCCAAAGAGACCTAGGATCTAAAACCGTTATTTCTATGAGACACGTTTTGGCCGTATCAAATGTCATATGACTGATGGTATAACATATGCAGGGCCACGTCTTTGTATAGCCCACATATACACCCCTTTATTCGGTATTAGCCACATCATTAACCGGAATCGTTTAAAATTTCGCATTTGAGGTTCGTAATCGATACTACATCGAATATTCAGCTCTTTTCAATGAAATAGTTCCGGCTTTAGTTCAGCGATTTAAAGTTATAAAATAATTTAGTCTTTAATTTATTAGCAGTTCACTCATGCACTCTTTCTGTTTAGCAGTCTATTTGGCTCACATCTGATTTTGTATATAAACATTCGCTGCTTACATGAACCTCAGTCTCTTACTTTTGTTCTGAAAGTCTCTTTATAATTTCAAACATCCATTATTCTAGTTAATCTGTCATAAATCTGTCATCATTCTATATCTGGTTGTGGTCTTTGCTATTTACTTTCGTATGATTCGCTCGTTTCAGAGTGGGAGCAAAATTCGCTCGTAAACACGCAGATTTCAATCTTGCCGAAGACTTCTATTAACTAAACCTTTTATTTAAAATAAACGTTTCAATACCACCGGTAACAAAATAATTGAATTTACTCACATTGCAACTTGCCAAAATAATAAAACACACACACACACACACACATCTTTTTGGACCATCACATTTATTTTTCAACTCTGGACAGTTGTGGTGGTATCTTTGATGATTTCACCCTCGGGTAGTTCTCGCACCAGGGAAAGTAACTTTTCCAATTTTTGCACCTGCAACACAGACTGTTCCAAGTTCTGTTGTTTCTTGGGGGGCTTAACCATCTGACGCAAGTTGGGTGACAATTTCAGAGAGGTGACAGTGCCTCTGCAATAAAAAACTACAATCAATATCTAACTTATAGACTACAAATCGAACTAATTATTTACTTATCATCGCCCACAATGATAAATGGCAATTTCTCGTTAAACGACAAACGCGTCAATTTATTCTTCCTCTTCGGCACCACAGCCTGAATACAAATCGCTTTGTATTTGTTCACATTCAAATCGAAGACATAAACCTTTCCCTCATTAGTAACGGCTGCAAACACCGTACTCGAATACGGTGCCCATTTAACATCTCCCACTGCGGAGCCCAAATCGAAGATGAACAATGGTTCAGGACGCATGTCTTCCCAGATTTTAACACGCCAATCTCCGCTGCACGATATGAAAATATTCGAATTGAAGCGATTAAAATCAATACGATATACGGATAAATTATGGGCTCGATATGTCATGAGATATTTTGAGCTATAGGCAATGCTGCATTTGTAGATGCATCCCTCTTCGGTGCCCACTAGAAATATTTCAGGATCTTCGGGATGAAATTTCATGCAGGAGCCACAGCTACGCAGACGTAGTTCGGTACCATCTGGTCCCGAGACAATACCGTTTTCAAGGAACAGCGTTATTATTGTCGTCACCATTAATTTATTTTGCATCAGTACCCAATTGAAGACACGACCTCCCGAGGATACGGAATAGAAATTGATTTCACCATCGGCCATATCGGGACCCCATTTTATCTGTAAGGTGGGAGATTTTGAAAAATCATTAAGAAAAAATTAACAGAATAATTCTAAAGAACATCTAGAGGGCTTATTGTTAAGTAGGGGGTAGTAGAAGGTTTCAAAGTCTTCTAGAGCAGAAAAAAAACTTAAGACATTCTGGGGCGCAAGAAGTCCTCGAAATGTTCTAGGACGACAAATAACCTCGAGGTCTTTTAGGTCAGAAGAAGATCTTAAGGTTCCTTGGGCCAAAGAAGAACTTCAGATGTTCAATCGGAAGAAGATCTCAAGAACTTGACTGCAAAGGACCACAAGATGTTCTTGAGCGAAAAACGACCTCAAGGTCTTCTAGGGTAGAAGGAGACCGCAAGGACTTCTAGGCCAAGGGAGGACCTCAAGGTGTTTTAGGACCTTAGAGTCTTCTGGGGCAGAAGTAAGCCTAAAGGAATTTTAGGACATGAGAAGACGTAAATATCCTATAGAGCAAAAGGAGACCTCAAGGTCTTCTGTGGGATGAGTAAGACTGCAGGCTCACCTATGGAACGAAGAAGACCCCAAGATCTTCTATGCAATGAAGAAAACCCCAAGGTCTTCTGTGGAACGAAGATGACATCAAGGACTTCAATCGAATGAAGAAGACCTGAAAGAATTTTGTGGAAAAAAGGGATATCGAGGTCTCGTATGGAATAAATAAAACCTCAAGGTCTTTTATGGAAAGAAGAAGACCTCAAGTTCTTCTATAGAACGAAGAAGATCTCAAGTTCTTCTTTGGAACTAAAAAGACCTCAAGTTCTTCTATTAAACTAAGAAAACTTCAAGGTCTTCTATGGAACGCCTCATTGCCTTCTAGTGCAAGAAGAAGACCTTAAGTTATTTCAGGGCAGAAGGCTTCTCTGTCTTCAGAAGCAGAAGAGGACCTCACCGTCTGCAAGGGCAAAGGAAGATCTCAAGGTCTTATGATGCCCAGTATTTTATACAAAGAACAAAGTCTCGTCTTCTTCCGGAAAATTCAGTTAGGATTGTTCAAGGTTATGTCCTACAGTAAAGATATAGGACTCCCACACCAATAAAAGGAGATCTTAAGGACTTTAGGACTTCTCAAGGAAGACCTTCAGGAGTAGTCCTTAAAATTTTAATTGAGAAGTCCTAAAAAATTTCTAAGTAAAACCCTAATATCCCCTTTTGTTGGTGTGTAGTCCTATATCTTTATTGTAGGACATATCCTTGATCAACCCTAACAGAATTTTCCGAAAGAAGAGGAGAATTTGTTCTTTGTATAAAATACTAGGTACTCTTCTGATGAAGAGAAGTCTTAAAATTTTTCTAAGTAAGATCCTAATATCCCCTTTCGTTGGTGTGTAGTACTATACCTTTATTGTAGGACATATCCTTAATCAACCCTAACAGAATTTTCCGAAAGAAGAGAAGACTTTGCTCTTTATATAAAATACTTGGTAGTCTTCTAATGCACGTATCTCTGGATCAAAACCTTTAATACCTACCTCCCAGACACATTCGATGTGTTTATCGCCAACACCCATAGATACATACAAAGGTTCTCGATAATTCTCCTTCAGATTATAGACATGGACATTACCATCGTACAGACCAATTGCCACTAGGAAAGGATATTTTGGATGGATATCACAGCACATTACACCACTTTCGGTCATGACTGGAATCGAAAGGTTAAAAAATGGAACTTTAATAAATCTCCTTTCCTCATAACAGACTACCCACTTATATAGTCTGGATACGATGGATTCTTGACAGTAAAAAGACATATGGAACCCTCGCTGGGCTGTTTCATGAAGTCGTCTGTAAGAATATAAAAATTATGTAAAAAGTATTCGGATATATTTTCCTTGATTCCTTACGTGATCCAAAGCACACCGCAAACAAATCGTAATAGTAAGGATTAAACATGACATCGGTTACGCTCATTTTCTTGGTCCTTTCGTATTGAAATTTCCACAACGGTAGCAAAGTACCCTCGCCGTCTCTGAACTCATCGGCCGGATCCTCCCAATAACGATAATCATGAGCAATGTCCTTGTAGATATTTTGATTTATCATGCGTTCCAGTATCTGCCAGCATTTCAAATACTTCTTGTTCAGCTCCTCGGCCTGTGCTGCTTTCAGTTCCTGTTTGCTCATTTTCAACTCATCCTTGCGTTGCGCTTTCTTATCATCCTTTTTGTCGCGTTCCTTCTGCTGCTGTTCAAAATCTTCTGCATAGCTGTCATAAATGACCCATTGCAAGACATTGGCGCCATACTGGGATCGTGGGGGCGGTATGGTTTGGGTGTCGACATTCTGACAAAAAATATTGAGAGAGACTAGTTTTTAAAATCTCATGGAAGTGTGCTCCTCCTTACCCTAGTTGGATTGGTAAATGTCAATGCCGCTCTTTCACAAAAGTTAAATTGATTGATGAGCTTGCGTTTTTTACCTCCAGCGGCTGCGGCAGCTGGAGCTGCATCTGCGGTTTCTTCTTCAATCTTTTCACCCTCTTCGGCCTCGCCACCCTCTTCGGCAGCCTCTTCTTCGGCTTCTTCTTCGCCTTCAGCCTCCTCAGCCCCTTCCTCACCCTCTTTGCCTTCTTGGTCCTCACCTTCTCCACCCTCTCCGGCTTCACCGTCATCAGCTTTGGGTGGAGCAGCTTCAGCTTCCATTAACGAGTAACGGGGAGCCGGCAGGGGATAACCTAAGGACAAAATATGTGTAAAATAATAATTTCCACACAAAAAATAATACCCTAACTTACCAATTTCCCCACTTTCCTCCATTTGATATTTCGCCTCATCCGAATCGATATGAAGAGAATTACCGTCGAATTTTAGCAGGGTAACTGTATTACCGGCTGGCGGCAGGGGTACATAGGCCTCTTCCTTGAAACTATAGACGACCAAATTATGCACCACATTTGTATTGGTCGTCGTCAGAACTTTGGTTATTTCTTCTGATAATTCGGCTTCGGTTAAATCCAATTGGTTGTCAGGCTTGACCAATTGGCGCGACTTTACCCAGGCATCCAAGTCATCAGCATCACCACCACCAGCGCCATCTGTGGGTGGCTTTGGTTTGGCCGTTGAGGCACGATTAAGCTAAGATCCAAATAAGAAATCAAAGAAATTAACACTCCATCCCTGCTAATTGAAGCAATTTTTTGAAGATAAAATTTCTGTGCCAAGAGAAGAAGAGAGTATTGTGTGAATATTTGGACTCACCACAGAAAGCGTACATACATTCACATAAACATACATTTACTTAATCTACACTATATCGCTACAAATAGTTTTACGGCGGAGAGAAAAACTCGTGTGTTTTAAGAAGTTTGAAAAAAAAAAACGTTTCATGCCACATGCAGTTTTTGTAGTTTTATCTTTTTTACCTCATCCTCTTCATTGTCAATGACTGAACCTGTTTCGTTTACATTTCCAGGCTCTATGGACTCAGACTCAGATACGAAAGTTTGCTCAGAAGCCATGGATCGGTATTTAAATACTTTTTTTTTGCTATCTAAATTAACTAAATTATTTTATTTACAAAAGAAATGAAATAAAGATTGCATTAAAAATTATAAAGCTAGATATTCAGTTGTATTTACAGCAGTTTTTATAAGACAAATAATTTTGTGATTTTACCCAGTATGGATTTGATATTAAACAAATAAAAAGTGGGGACAGTGATTGAGAATCGTTCCTAAATATGAAATTTTTTTATCTTATATTTTTTAGTTTCAGTTTTTATTAAAATTTCAAAATTGGACAAATATTCCGTATATGTAGTAGTTTACACATTTGCTCCATTCGTGTTATCTTCCGAGAACATTTACTCACCAAAAGTTAGTTGAGACAAAAATATGCAAAATATTTATCATACAACAAAACAATGAACCATGGAGTTCCTGCCCACAAAGAAACACACATTTTTATACCCTACACCACAAAGTGGTAAGGGTATTAAGTCTTTGTGCATTTGTTTGTAACATGGAGAAGGAAGCGAGATAGACCCATAACTACTTTTGAGCATCTTCATAGAACCACTTTCTGAGTCGATTTATGCATGTCAGTCCGTCCGTCTGTAGCATTTATTATCCGATTGAGATACAATTTTCCAAACACTATTTGTTTGGCTCAAGGATGAACCCAATTAAAATTGGTGAGAATCGCAATATATCTACCATATATATCTTCAATTGATTTCGGATTAAAAGTGCACTAAATTGCCAATATCAGTCCAAATGACTTGAATTTTGGCACATCTGACCGAATTTCGTCTAGAAGTAAGTACATAAAAAAATCGGTTCACATATAGCTATAGCTGCCATATTTATTTTCCGTCCGATTTGGGGCTTTATGTCCCTTACATGCGTAATATGCACTCCACAAAAATAATATTTGGGACCAGATCAGATACAGCCCAGAAACACCTCTGTCAAAATATTTGAACGAATTTAGTCTAGAAGCAAGTACATCAAACAATTAGGTTCAAATATAGCTATAGCTCCCATATATATTTTTCATCCAATTTGGTGTTTAAGTTCCTCGCATACTCCACAACAATGATCTTTGGTACCAGATACAGATCAGAAATAAGTGCATAAAATTTTGTCAATATCGATTTAGATTTGGATATAGCTCCCATACAGGGTGAGATAAAAAAAATTGAAACAAAGTCAACCGCCATAATTTTTAAATTTTTTTTCATTTTATTGAATGAAACAAAAAATTTCGGAAATAGCTTCAAATTTTAGAATAATTACGAATTATGGCATTTTTGGTCCATTCCCGGCGAAGCGCTTGCTTAAGGTGATCGAAAATTTAATATTTTTTAGTGCCAACACCTTGCTTTCCAAAATACTCCAGAAACAATAGTCCAACTTATTGGTATACGGAGATTTTGGTGGCCATTGTGCGCTGGAAATGAAGCGAGGAACCTCATTTTGTAACCATTAATGGTCTGCGGCCAAAATGTTTGCGTGCCCAAGGCTTTAATACACCCTCCAGAATATTTTCGCGATAATATTTGGCATTTATTCTGATGCGGTCGATTAATACAAGCGGAGAGCGACCATCGGGTGTTATGGCGGCTCACACCATCACCATGGCCGGCGCTTGAGTTCTGGTGGCCAACTGATTTTCAGCTGACCTCTTTAGCAAGTAAACACGATCACTTTTGTTTGTTTACAAACTGCTGGACAACGAATGTTTTCTTATCGGAGAAAACTGAATTCGACAGTTCACCACTTTCGGACAAGCGAAGCAACTCTTTATCTCTTTGAGTCTATTTTCTTTCTGTTGCGGTGTAAGTTCTTGCACTTTTTGGAATTTCAATGGATTTAGCCCGAGCTCATTTTCCAATATTTGCCGAATGGAATATTGCGATATGTTCAGCTCACGAGCCATTTTCGGCCATTGCGACGCGAGTTTCGACCAATTCGCTTCTTTACTTTTCGAACCATTTCTGCTGATGTTGCTGTTTTCTTCCGTCCACTTCTTTGACGTCGGGCTACGCTACCAGTATCACGAAGTTTGGCACTTACAACGGAATTCAGCCCAAAAGCAATTACGAAAAATCGAAAAATCGGTTCAGATATAGCTATAGCTTCCATATATATGTTTCATCTGATTTGGTGTTAATGTCCCTCACATGCGTAATATGCATTCCACAACAGGGGTATCTGATACCGGACATCAGCTAAAACTCGAAACGACCTCTGCCAAATTTTTATCGAAATCGGTTCAGTTATTCGGTTATTGTCCACCATATATGTAATCTCAGCCCAATTGAATAGATTTTTTTCATATTCAACCGAATTGTACCATTTGGTGTAATTCGGTCCGGTATATCTATTGCTCCAATATAATCATGCACTATAGAGAAATATTAATTGCTTCTAGAGGTACAAAAGCCTCCGTCAGATTTGTTAAAAATCGATTCAGAGTTGGATATATTCCACAAGTTGTGACTACTTTAAAGCCAAGATACGCATTCAAATAAGGTTCATAGTTGTTAAGATCCACTTCACATAAATTCCAATATAACCTTTTTTGTTACAGGAGATCTACTACTGTTGTAGGGGGTCTTATAGTCGGCCCCGCCCGTCTTTTGACATTTCCTTATTGGCTTGGTTTGGTTTCTTTAAGTCACCCGACAACACAAGGAAATTTGGTAAGATATATCGTATTTAGTATTAAAAGCATGTCTGCAAACGGCAGACGATTTTCAAATTTCGGAATGACACTGGTTTCAACGATTCAAATTTGAAGTCATACATAGAGCCTATAATTAGCTGCGTAAAATTAAAATCACTTCTCTTAATGTTAATAAATCACATAAACATTCAATCAGATTTCATGTTAATCTTAAAAAGTTGTCATGGGGATTAGTTTTCATTTTTGTTTTTAATATATCTTCACATATGGAGTAATTACCAAATCTTCTTCATCCATTTGAAATCAAATATTTTTAATACGTTGCAGTTTCCACTTTATCCGATCAAAATAAAATAAATCCGTTTAAAATTACCGTTGAGCTAACTAAATTCAATTAATCTCAGCAATCGTATTGAGTTTCTGCTAAACCAATTTCAATGACAATTAATTTAATATATTTGTCACAATGTACAACTGTTAGCCAGCCAGCCAATGGAGGAGCCATACTGGGTACTAACCACAAAAAATATAATATAATCTATATATACCTGATCTATATATAGATTATCCTTCTGCCTTGAGTGTTTTAATGCGAAAACAACAATAAAACACCAATGTCTAATTAATCAAATATTTACAATGTTTGATGTTTATCCAATTATATGTATTTGGGTGTGTGTGTGTGAGGGAGTTTGTTTGAATGTTTAATTTAATGCATAAAATTAATATCTACAAATTGGTGGGAGTGTGTGTTTGTATATAATTTGCTTATGCTAATTGTTTTTTCGGTTTAATTTATTTTAATCCACTTGACTAATAGTTATGTTATTTATTACGATATCTACAACAGGAGCACATGGCTAAAAAGAATTCATGATTACAACCAAATGACTCGAATAAAAACTTTTTCAATTAACATATTATTTGTACATTTTAATTTTCTTCATAAAATCCACATTCATTTTAACCATGTTTGACTGTTGTGTGTTGTTGTTGTCGTTGTCAGCCTAATAATAATTATATAGATAGATATTTTTATTTGTTTATTTTTTGTTTCTTTCATTATACCACAACAGCTTTATTTGCAAGTTTCCACATTTTCTTTCAAATTGTTTCAACTGGTTAATTTTTCCGAATTCCAAATCCAAGTTATTTTTCACTTGCAAAGAGTTTTCCGTTCAAAGAGTTACTAACATGAAATGACGAAAATTAAATTTGTTTTGCCTTCCGCGAAGCGCAGCAAAGCTGGTAAATATTCTAAAGTTTTTGTTTGGTTGTTATGATTTTGTTGTTGTTTTCTTTGGTTTACGTCCATAGTTTGTTTTCTACTTGGAAATGTTGGTTGTTCCATTCATATTTCAGAGAAGGAAATGTACAGTGAGTTTCCGATAAAAAAAAGCCTTGGTTTTATATACATATTATATACATTATGCATCACATTGGACATTAATATATAAAAAACAGTAAGGAAAGGTCAAAATTCGGGCGGGGCCGACTATATGATACCCTACAACACTATGTGTAGAGCTCCCGTAACAAAAAAGTTTACGGTGCATGGTACGGAATATATAAAAAATATTTATTGGAGCAATAGGTATACCGGACCGAGTTTTACAAAATGGTAAAATTCGGTTGAATATGAAAAAATCTATTCAATTTGGGCTGATATTATATATATGGTGTGCAATAATCGTAACATCGGATGAAGATGTACATCGAAGGCACATAAAAATCTGAACCGATTTGGCAGAGGTATTTTCATGCAGTACCTGATGCCCTGTATCAAATACCATTTTTGAGGAGTACATATTACGAATGTGAGGGACTTAAAACCCCAAATTGGATGAAACATATATAATGGAGCTATAGATATATCTGAATCGATTTTCAAAAAATTTGAAGTACTTGCTTCTAGACTAAATTCGGCCGGAAGTTCCAAAAGTCAC